AAAAAGAACAGTACTTACTGCGAGGAGGAGAAGCTGAGGGCAAAACCCAAATCTTTTTTGTTTGCTTATTTTTTGAGACAGGGTCTCATTATGTTTCCCAGGCTGGACTCGGACTCCTGGGCTTCAGCAATCCTTTTGTTGACGTTTTTAACAGAGGAGGAGTACAGCCTCCTGAGTAGTTGGGATTACAAGTGTGGGCCAACCTGCCTGGCTCAAAACCCAAATCTTAAGCAGAACTAGGGAGGTAGAAAAGAGAACCAGAGAGGGATGGAGACCTCTCTGGGGCATCAGAAGTACTAAGTTTTACCTTTAGCTCCTTTGATGACTTGCTATTTAAACTTGGGAAAAGCCACTGCCATTTAGAGGATCTCAATATTTTCATCTGTAAAATGCCCTCCCCTTTACTCTGCCACAGAAAGCTTGTCATGATTTGTGCCTAACTGGATTTAGATGTTTAAGATATATGGATCACAAGGTTCCTTCAGTTTTCGGACTAAGTAATGCTCCCGGGGGCCTGGATGGCCCTATCCACATTGTTCAATGTCCTCTTTCCTATATCCCATCCCCTACCCTTGAAAAAAAAAAAGAATACCTAAGAGATATGTCTAATCAGAATTTTCCTAAGTACCTACATACCATCTTATTTTCATCTCTTAAGGAATGGGATAACCTTCCCACAAGCAGCTCTTGGAACAGCCCAGAGGGTGACCCTGCCCTAAGGTCCCAGGATGTGAGCCAGCACCAAGGAGGGTTAAAGTGTCTCATCAAGGATTCTGGGGGCAATACTATGGAGCACTGGCTACTCACTTGGAGAGACTCTTCTTGAGTTTGAGTCCTTGGCTGCCACAGTCAGACAGGCGATCAAGAGGGGAGATCGTCCTGATGGGGGGCAGGTGGCCATCACTGCCATATGAAGGGAGCATTCCTGAGAGGTGGCCATCTCCAAGCACATGAAGTGGAGGAACTGCTGGGGATGGAGTGAGGGGCCCATTGAGGGCCTCCAGAAGAGATACTACTTCATAGCCTGGTGGAATATTCTCTGAGGACTAGGGAAATCAGAGACAGGTTGAAAAATTAATTAGGTCCTTTTTGTTTTATGGCATGCTCATGCTACTTACTCTACACTGAAAAAAATGTTTTCTTTTATATCTGTTCTGGGGAGCTCTGGTAAGAACAACTGTACTAGAGCAGAGATAAAATATCAAAGAACCACACATTGTAGATTCTGCTTATTGGTAAACCTTTTCTTAATAATCTCTATTTTTTCTGATTATAATGGAAACATGTTAATTATAGGAAATTTGGAAAATACATAAAAGTAGAAGGGGAAAAAAATCACCAGTAATCAATCACCCAAAGTTACTTTTGTTAGCATTCTGGTGTCTTTTCTTCCCATTTTTTTCTGTGTACTATTTACACAGTTTTGATCAATCTGTAAATAACAATTTTGTATTCTGCTTATTTTATTATACTTTCCTCTTTTTAAAAAAATAGAAGTGGGATCTCATTATGTTGCCCAGGCTGGTCTTGAACTCCTGGTCTCAAGCAATCCTCCTGCGTTGGCCTCCCAAAGTGCTAAGATAATGGATGTGAGCCAACGTGCTTGGCCAGACTTAAATATTTTCCTTTGTTTCTGAAGCCTCTTCATATATGTCCGCTTCTCATATATCCCCTAGGTTTTCTAACTATTCTAGTGGTGGTTATCTAGTGTCTAACACGTCCTATTGTAAACAAGTTTTGAGGAACACCCTTGAATGCCTTTTTTTCAAATTATCTTCTTGTTATTAAATTCTTAGCTTTTAGATGATGAAGTATAAATGTTTTTAAGACTCTTGATATATACTGCTGTTTTCTGCTGTTTTGTTTATTTCAGTGCCTTTTCTAGTTACACTCTTATAAGTAATATGGAAGACCTATTTTGACTACTTCCCTGACAGCAGGGAGAATCACTAAAAATAAAAGTTTTTAAAATTCGAAAGTTGAAAAATGGTTTTCTCATATTTGCGTATCATTGATTTTTAATGTGGTTGAACTTTAAAAAAAACTCTTTGTTGAGTATTTTTTGTTTATGCCCTTTGCCCATTTATCTACTGTTTCCCTCAATATGAACTATGGCGAAGACATCAGCTTTTCCTCTGATACCTACATTGTAAATACTTTTTTTAAAAAAAATACTATTTGTTGTCTACCTTTTAATTTTGGTCACCTTTTAGACCTCTGAAGTGATAAACTTTTAGATGATAAAATGTATGATTCTTAGTGGCTGGGCACGGTGGCTCATGCCTGTAATCCCAGCACTTCGGGAGGCCGAGGTGGGCGGATTATGAGGTCAAAAGATCGAGACCATGGTGAAACCCCATCTCTACTAAAAAATATAAAAATTAGCTGGGCGTGGGGATGCACGCCTGTGGTCCCAGCTACTCGGCAGGCTGAGGCAGGAGAAATGCTTGAAACCGGGAGGCGGAGGTTGCAGTGAGCCGAGATTGCGCCACTGCACTCCAGCCTGGCGCCTGGCAACAGAGCAAGACTCTGTCT